AAGACCTTTGGCTGAGTACCTGCATGAACATACAAAAAGAGAAAATAATTAAACTCTAGTTAATTTAGTGAATAGACTAAATAAATAGGTAGAACTATGTATAAAAGTACGATAAATTCGCTCTTTTTTAAAAGCTTCCTTAAATTTAATCAGTTACCTGCAGCTGTAAAAAAATGTACTAGCCTCAATAATTTCAAAATGTTGCTTAAACAACATATCACAATATTTATAGTGTACTTTTTTTTATATTGTATGTATATTAGGTTTTTCTATTTAAATAAAGATCTATCTATCTATCTAGAATTTTCATTAGGAATCTCTCAATTTTTTGAAAAACTTCAACAAGTGGTACTAAGCTGGTCATGTTTTTACAGCCAACTTTCAAGCTTCATATTTTAAAATCAGACATTATCATATTACTTAAAAATTATTCATAACTCGGATAAATATATACAGTAACTTCTACCATATCAAACTTCCACCCAACTATTGACACTTTTTTACAGCAATTAAAAGTTTAAGTGCATGATTGAGTTCAATGATTAGAATTACCTTTGCCGTTTCTGGATGTTTCGTTTCCATTTTTCTGGATCGCTCTTCCTCTTACGAGTCGTCCTTTGACTCACAGATATATTTAACTCCATGAATATCCAATTATAACTAATAATTTGCACAAAAAACAGTTTAAACTAGTAATAAACACAAATAAAACGATTCACATCAGACACGTTGAAAGGAGGGCCATTGTTGATCTCGCAGTCATGTGATCACAATACAGCATTCTTATTGGCTGTTAGGGAGATGTCCATTTTTGATATAAACCTTCATAACAGGAGTCCGTTTTTGAAACAAACATTCAACTTTAAAGTCGAAAATAACATATTTGCGTCCGTGTTTGAAGGAAACTATTATCACCGTTGGAAAGAACAGGAAAAATTCTATAAGAAACAACTTCTTACTAAATTTTTATTTTTTTGCAAATGTCCGTCTTTGATATGAAGCCACTCAAATATCCATAAAGGCATCAGTTTAAGATATTTCCTCAATCTCATTCCGGAATTCACAATCTGATTCGCGAACGACAGAAACTGATAATAAAGATGTCTCAGCCTCTTTTTCTAATTGAAACTAATTGAATAATTTTTATATTAGTCTTTTTTCATTCTCGGTATATCTCGGAATATTTAAAATATTTTTATGACAATAAATACAAAATTTAATTTTCACTGTAGTTAAAATATCTGAAAATACTAACCTGGAATGGCAATTATCATTTTATCAGTTAACATTGTGAAAGTACTGTCACTGTCATTATCAAGATCATCTGTGTTAAATTATATTTATATGCATAATTGATTGGATATCTATTTAGCGTATTCTAAACTCCAACCAATTATACGTTCGTAAGTAGAATTCGCTTTAATATGCGAATACCCGTGAACGATACCTAATTTTCTATGTTCTATGTATAATAATCAGACACTCACGTTTTTTTCTGTCACTTCCAGCTTAATGCGTTAGAGAGAATTCGAACAACTATGACGCACTGAAAGAAGGGTTTGGGACGGACTGTATAATCAACGATACTATGAAAACTGTAGTGCAGTTAGTAAACATCTTAAGAGGACGAAACAGAGCTCAGCGACATCGAAAATTCATCTCTTTCTTGGAGGAATTAAATACTGAATATAAGGACGTCCTCTACATTCAGAGATGCGCTGGTTGAGTTCAGGTAAATGCCTTAGAATTTTTTTTCTTTAAGAAAAGAGATCTTACTGTTTTTTTAAACGGAAATTGTTATTAACAAGAACGTATTTATAACAAAGCTTAAGAACAAAATATTTCTTCATGAACTGGCATTTCTAACAGACATTACCTCTCTCTTGAACACATTAAACCTACAACTACAGGGGAAAAATAAGACAGTATCAATCACGGTTGGTTAGTCGAATTGACACATTTCGCAAAAAAACTTAATCTTTTCGAGAACTGCATGAAAATAACCGACCTCACACATTTTCCTGCGTGTTCAAGAAAAAACCATGGTGGTTTTCTCGAGGTTTACAGAAAGTTCTTACAGAAATAAAAAGAGAATTCGATGAAAGGTTTTCGGAATTTGATCCATTAAAATCCGATCTTGAGCTTTTTAACAATCCAATGGTAGTCAACATCCAGAACCAATCAGCAGAATACCAATTAGAGCTGTGTTAACTACATTCCGATTCGTTTTTTCAAGCAAAGAAAAATGAAGACATTAGTACCTTTCGGTAGTTAGTCTCCAAGGATCGTTTTCCTAAACTTCGTAACTTTGCGTTGAAACTATATTCAATGTTTGGTAGTACGTATATATGTGAAAAAACATTTTCTGCTTTGAAGTATATTAAATTTAAAACACGTAATCGCTTGGAAATCTATTCTCTGGAAGCGTTTATTAAACTCACTACGACTAGCATAGATATTATATAGATGTGCAAAAGTTAGTAGAGGATAAACCCTTGCCTCAAATATCCCATTGATTTTTTATTTTATGTTAAATTTTAAACATAATATGAAAATTGTAAACCATAATAAAATACATGTAAATAATATTTCGATTGTATATTATTTTTTAAAATAAACTTTTTTTGAACGAGTCAAGTTCTCTGGCCCTTCATACTAATTTTAAATTTTATACGGCTCGCAACGTCTAAAAGGTTGGACCACATTGATGTAGGATACAGGGACAATGTTAGTATGGCCCACAGTAGTTCTAAAGGCATGCTAATTTTCCCTCCTTTGTAATATTTCTTAATAAATATTACAATAATTAGGGCTTTAACCCTTTCATAGGCAGTGGGAATTATAATTCCCACCATATAATATCACGTCTACAGGCAGTCTACATAGATTTTCTCACCGTTTTAGTCTGTAGTGATATCAGTAGGCCACCTAGTAGATTGCTAAGGATATAAATATTATTTTTCTATTCTTTTGACTTTTATACAGACATTTATACAAAAGCAATAATATTAGAACGTATGTCACCTATGCTAAATCTATATTTGTAAGTGGGTCATATGCTTCCCACCGTCCATCCTCGTTGTTCATTTTTATTAGTTGATTTTAGAAATGTGAGATCTAGATAATCCCCGAGATGCTGAGGTTGCAAGGTGCTTTTGAAGAACTTGAAAACTTGGAAGACAACTGTTCAGATTCTTCTGTGTGAATACAGCCTGTTTGGAATAATCACATGCTCAGTATTCAGGTAATTTTTCTCTCCCTACACTTTCAGGAATGGGACCAAAACACAGATTTCTATTTCCAACATTTCTTTGACAACCATGCACTTGATTTTTCCAAAGATGCCAATTCTGAGTACTATTTTAATATTGAAGACAAAGAAATCGATGATTTCACCAAAATTTTTTATTTTGATATTCTTGGTATGATAGTTTATCAGACTAATCTGTATGCAAAGCAGAATTAGCATAGAAGGGCTAATAAGACAAATCAATCCGGTTCATCTAATAATTGGAAGATATAAATCTAGAGGAAGTAAAGGCCCTAATGGGAGTAATGATTATAATGGGAATACAGACACTTCCTCAACTTTAAAATTACTGGTCCACTGATCCATATAAAAACTTATTGAAAATTTACACCTAAACAACAATGAAAATGTAGTGCCTCGACAAAAACCTGGATATGACAAATTGCATAATGTGAGACCACTTGTGGAAAAAATTAACAGTACAATCCAATCTACGTATAACCAGTCATCTTACTTAGCTGTTGATGAATCGATGATAGTGTTCAAGGGCAGATAATCACTCAAACAATACATGCCCATAAAGCCTGTGAAACGAGGCTATAAATAAAGTATGGTGTTTGGCAGACTCAATTACAGGCTATATATACAAATTCCATATGGAAAGTCGGCAGTTGTTGACGGAGCAAAAAACCTAGGTGAAAAGGTTATTATTAAACTTGCGATTTGTATATAAAGCATAAAGCTAGGGATGTTTCATAGCTTTTAATAATTTCTTTTCATCCTTTCCTCTTAAGAAAAAATTATTAAGCGATAAGATTTATACTGTTGGTACGGTGAGATCACACAGAAAGGGATTACCAGATATGTATAAAAGTAAAACAAAGATGTGCCGTGAAGAATTTATGTTTAGTGCAAAACTAAAGGTAGCTGCAATTAAGTGAATGGATAATAAACCAGTCAACATCTTGAGCAACTGTTTCTCTACACAAGATACAGACTTTGTCAGTAGTAAAAATAAAGATGGCTCCACAACAAATGTGTCATGACCTAAAGCTCTAAGCGTTTATAATCAGATAATGGGCGGTGTCGATAAGTTCGACCAATATCACAAAAGATATTCCATTGGACGAAGGTCTGCCAAATGGTGGTTCAGAATTTTCTATTTAGTCGATATGGCTATAGTCAATTCGTTCATACTAATGAAGATAAGTAGAGGGAAGAAACTCGACCAACTATCATTTCTATCGTGCATTTAGCAAGACAGTTGATTTCGGGCTTTGCTTCATGGAAACGTAGAAATAAATCCGTAATATTTTTAGCAAATAAATGTTTAGTTCCAAATGAAGTGAGATTATCTGAAGTTGGTAGACATATGCCAAACAAGGAAAAATTACAGGTGATGTAGGATATGCAGTACTAATCAAAATGAGAAAAGGACTCGGTATATCTGCACCTACTGGAATCTTCCATTATGCACAACACCCTGTTTAGGAAATTTCATGGTCAATGGTTTTTTAAATTTACATTTTTCGCGTATGGGCACTAGGAAGTATTATCCCACCACCCTTATAAAATAGGGGAGGGGTAAATTTTTTTGACACTATGTCAGTCAAAGAAAATTTTTTAACACTATTTAATTTGCTCACGCTTATGAAAGAGTTAAAATTGCATCACAGACAAAAAATAAAATTATACTGTTAGGAAAAAGTGCTTTTAAAGAATTGTAACAATACATAATATCGACACTTACCTAATGGAGCATATTCTTGAGAAAAAACATAGAATCCAGCCGTTTCAAAAGCCACATCATATGCTGTGATAATGTTCTTGTGGACTCCCAAGTGCAGTCCATAATGAAATTCTCTATAAAAATCCTTAATGGCCGTGTATGGCTTAGGAAGAGCTTTAAGTACCATTTCTGTGTCCGTAGCTTTATGTTCTACCAGAAGAATTTTGCCGAACCAACCTTCCCCTACAATTTGCAAGATGTCGAATTCATCAGCAAGATTTACCTGTAAAAGATCAAGGTGATAACTATAACAAAAACAAAAAAAAAAAAGAAAAGAAAGAGGGATCACGATATTGGAAAAGGGAAACTTACTAATATATAATGGAATAAAAGAAAAAGAGCTCAGGCAGGGGTAGTATGTATGGCAAAGAAAAATATCTTCAATAAAATAAGGAATTGGTTATATTTCAATGAGCGTATACTTAGAGTCGATATACAGATGGACACAAAGGAAGCAATAACAAACTTAATTATATGCCATGAACCTAGTGAAGATGCAACAAAAAACTAAAATAACGAGTTGTGAGACAAAATGAAAAAATTAATAAATAATTGTATAGCAAAAAGAGTAATCACAGAGGATCTGAATGCTAGAGTGCGAAAAGAAGTAGAAAATTCATCATGCAACCTCTTCTGTCCACTTCTGGATATAGGTCTCTCCCATTTTTCGTCACTCTTCATGGTTCTGTGCCTCTTGTTGCCATTTCTTGGATATTCGTTTAATGTCGTTCATCCAGCGTGTTGGGGGTCGTCCTTTGTTGCGTTTGTCTTCTCTTGGGCGAAAGTCGATTAGTTTTCTGGTCCATTTTGAGTATTTTAGTATCGCTATATGACCTGCCCAATTCCATTTCAGCTTTGCTATATGGTCGACGACATCAGTGATACCTGTTCTTTTCCTTAAGTCTTGGTTAATTATTTTGTCTTTTTTGTCACGCCGAGAATCGATCTTTTCATGCGCCTTTTTGCCACTCGCATTTTTAGTGATGCTGTTTTTGTGAGAAAGAGTTTCTGCTCATATGACATAGTAGGAAGAACGCATTGGTCAAATGTCTTCCGTTTTATAGCTATCGGGTTGTTGCTCTTGTTACGATAACTATTGCGTTTAAAACTATAAATATATTATGACTAATTCTGTTTTTGTTCTAGTCAATTCGAAGTTGTTTACAGAAACCTATAGACCCCAATTTTGATGAGTCATCCACGACTCGCGCAGTTAAAAAAAAAACTAGTTTTAAACTGTTGGTCGCCTTCACCAAAATACGAGATTATTCGATGGTGTTCCATTATAATGTAGAAGGTCGCCGAACTTTCGAGATAACAACAGTTTTGTATATAAACGAAAGATTTTTTATTTGGTCAGTCAGTGAAGAAAGAAGCTCGGGAATCGCGATTTTAAAATGTATCGAACGTAACATAAATTTGTACAGTTATTTAATAAATTAGTAATTAGCTATCGTGAGTTTTAATAAATTAGAATATAGACAATAAATTAGAATAAAGACAAATAAATCAGAACTATATAAATATACTACACTCTTAAAGATGTCTCTTAGTGAACCATACCCCGCCCAAGTAAGTGTTATTCGTCGTTGAAATGCACAGGCCTGATTATCCTTGCTTATTCTGATTTCATTACCGAGATATATGTACTTTTTTGTCAATTATACTACTTGATTTTGGATGGTTAGGTGTTCGCTGGGAACCAAATTTGTCATAAATTTGGTTTTACTGATGTTCATTTTTAGACCTATTGTTGAAGATACGTTTTCTAATTCTTGGAACACTTGTTGTGCTTCACGCAGATCTTCGGTAATATGTACTATATTGTCGGCAAAACGCAGATAATTGAGCATTTTCTCGTCTATTTTTATTCCTCTATTTTCCCACTTAAATATTTTAAACGAGTATTCGAGGACCGTTATAAATAATTTAGGTGAGAGAGTGTCGCCTTGTCTCATACCTCGCTTTATATGAATTTTTCTGGTGGTATCATGTAGTTTTACACGCATTGTGGCGTTCTGGTACAATGTTTGTACTAACTTTGTAAGCCGGTAGGCTATTCTACTATTCAATATAAGGTTGAATGTTCGAATAAATGAACTTTGATGGTACACAAGGCAAATATCGAACACAGTAATTAATCAAATCTTGCCCAAGTACTTTCGATCACAAGATCATCCTCAGGGGCATTTCGTCAGTTGTGGCCTATCCAGCAGTAACAGAATGTCATAAATGTAAATTGGGACATAACAAATACACTAAACAAAGACAAACAAACACTTTAAAATTTAAAAATTGGAGAAGCTACATTTTATATAGAAGCCGGAGACAGAATTCATTCTGTCTCCGGCTTAGTCTCGGTTTAGTGTATTTGTTATGTCCCAATTTACATTTATAACATTCTGTTACTGCTGGATAGGCCACAACTGACGAAATGCCCCTGAGGATGATCTTGTGATCGAAAGTACTTGGGCAAGATTTGATTAATTACTGTGTTCGATATTTGCCTTGTGTATCATCAAAGTTTATTCTACTATTGTTCAGAGCAGTTATAATGCTGCTTGTAAGTGATCGTTTGTTCCGAATTTTGAGCGGAAGCCATCTTGTTCTCGGGGCTGGTACAAATTCAACCTTTTTTCTAGTCTTGTCGTAATTATTCATCATCACGTAGCGCTATAACCCTGGGTGGGTCTTGACTGACTGTACAACTTTTTTCCAATTTGTTCGGTCTTCCATCAACCTAGGGTCAAATGGAATGTTCATTTTCCGGAGATCTGATTGGATGTTATCTTTCCATCGCATTCGGGTGGTCGTCCGAGTGGTCTTTTGCCTGTGGGAATCTTCTCCCATACCAGTTTTACAAGTCTCCCGCTATGTAATCTGTCCACGTGGCCTGCCCATCTTAATCGCTCTGATTTAATTTTTTGGAGAATATCGGCGTCATTGTAGAGTGCTTTTAATTCGATATTGGTTTTGATCTTATACTGGTTTGTGATGATGTCATGGTGAGGACCGAAGATTTTTCTAAGTATTTTTCATTCAAAGCTTTTCTTCGTTTGCTTTGGTCATGGTTCACGTTTCGCATCCCTATGTTATTACAGATCTAACGATGGATTTATAGATTTTGATCTTTGAACTTCTTGTAAGATTTGTGATTTTATAAGCTTATCCAGTGCGAATAGACATCGGTTTGTAGATTGGATTTTATCTTTTATTTCTTCAGTAACATCGTTGTCAGCTGTAATTACGGCCCCCAGATACTTAAAACGTTGTACTCTTTCGAAATTGAAGGTGCTAATCGTCACATTTTATCCTATTCAGTCTCTTTGTGTCGTTCTATTTATACACATATATTTCGTCTTCTCTTCATTAATCTTCAGCCCTACTTCACTTGTTGCTCCTTTCACCTTGTTGAAGATGTCTTTTGTGGATAGGATGGAGTCTCCAACGAGATCTATGTCATCTACATATGCGAGTAACAGTTTGGGACCTTGAACCGATAGCAATTGTTTTTATTTCGGCCGACCTCATGACTTTCTCTAATACAAGGTTAAAAAGTAGTGGAGATAACGCATCACCCCGTTTAAGTCCACTGTTGATTTCAAAGCTGCCAGATAGTTTATTATTTACACGTACTTTAGATATTCCATTCTCCATACAGACTTTGGTCATCCGAATGAGTTTCTTTTTTATTGAGAACGCCGCCATGGCATTCCATACTTGGCTTCTTTCTACGTTATCATATGCCTGTCGAAAGTCTATGAAAATATTGTGTATGGATCTGTTATACTCCCATCCCTTTTCTAGAAGTTCTAAAACCGGCTTGATATTCGCCTAGGACATTCTTAGCATAAGGGATTAGTCTACTAAGAATGATGTTTGAGAGGGTTTTATATGCCGTGTTTAGGATTGAAATTCCTCTATAATTCGCGCACTTTGTTTTGTCCCGTTTTTTGTGGATGGGCACTATTATGTTTTCCTTCCATCGTGCTGGTATCATTTCTTCTAACCATATGTGCGTAATTAGCTGGTGGATTTGGCGATGTAGTGCGTCTCCCCATATTTCAGAAGTTCTGCTGGTATCTAGCCCGTATCTGGCGCTTTGTGATTTTTCAGCTTATTTAAGGCCTTTTGGATTTCTTCAAAGGAGGGATTTTTGACGGTCTTGTCCGCTGTGATATAAATCTCTTCTTTGTGCTGTTCTTCTAGCATGATGTTTAAAGGTCCCTAAAATACTCTTTCCATTCTTCAGTTACTTCTTTACCATATGGCCTTGATTGTCTCTCAGTGTATGGATGGAATTGGTTCTATTTCCTCTTTTCTCAGAGGAAATTGCTTCATAGAATTCTCTGAAGCATGGTTTGGGCCGGTCTCTTTCCATAGCTCCATATTTTTGTTGTTCATAATTTCTTTTCTTTGTGCGTAATATTTTTCTTGTTTCTTTTCGGCAGTCGTCATATTCCTTTTTACTTTGGTCTTTTTGCAGTTGTATCCAAGTCTTCCTTACTGTTTGTCTTTTTTCCAGCTGTTTCCGACATTCCTCGTCATATCATGTTTTGCTCTCTTCTGCCTACTCCTTCCAAAGATCTTGTCCGCTGTCTTGGTAAAGCTATTAAGGACTTTCACATCGTTGAATATATGTTTTTTGTCATTGCTTATGTAGTCTATCTCGTTTCTAATCTTGACATCTGGGCTTTTCCAAGTCCATCTTCGGTGGTCTTTTTTAGAGAAGAAACTATTCATCTGGTATAGATTTTGTTGTAATAGAAATTCTAGTAGTGTTTGTCCACGCACGTTTCTGCCTTTGGATCCAAATATACCTAGTGATGTTTCCTGTTCATCCTGCTTTAGGCCGATCTTTGCGTTAAAGTCTCTGCATATAATAGTATAGTGTGTTGGTGTTTCAGTGCCGTTGAGATATCGTATAATTCTTCAATCTGCTCATTCGGATGGTCCGTTGTTGGAGCATATACTTGAATAATCTTTATTTTATACCTTCGGTTTAACTTTACGATTAAATAAGTTACTCTTGTGGATATGCTTCTTATAATTACTGTTATCTGCAAGTCTTTTGTGTATAAAGAAACCGACTCCCCCAATTGATTCGGTTTCACTATCTACACTGTAAAACATTTGCCCTGATTTTAGTCTTGTCAGGTTTTCTCCATGTCGCCTTACTTCACTGACTCCAATGATATCCCATTTTACTTTTGACATCTCGATTTTCATTTCGGTGACTTTTTCTTCAGATAATAATATTCTGGAATTGTAGGTAAAGATAAAGAGTGTTAAAGGTTTTTTCATCTTGTGCGTCGTCAGTTTTTCTGGGCGGGTTGGTGAGTTTTTAATTCAGCTACTCATTGTGAGTACCGAGGCTGTTTGAAGCCGCCCGCTACGGTTCAGACGCTTCTAGGTTTGTGACCTTACATTATCCCTAAAATCAGGGGCCGAAAATATTCTTCGACGCCTTGGATGCCGTTCTGAACAGAAAATTTTTATGGATTATCCATCAGTACTACAGTGAGATTTGTTTTTGACTTGATTTGATTTGATTGTTTGGATCAGTTCAAATTTATCAACTGGTCTTAAAAAGATCGAATATAAGACCTTTTTTGAATTGAGGAGATAGGAAATAGGATCTTGTTGTGGCAAAATAGTTGATGTTATATTTTTACTCACATTAATGAAGCATTCATTTAAATTTTTAGGTTTTGAAAGAGAAAATATTTGAGCTGTGTTTTTATTTCGAAGATCGTTTATTATAGACCCAACCTCTCTTGCAATATTTTTAGAGCTTCCCAGATGATTCTGATACAGTACATTTGTTTAGCTGTTTTGATAAGTTTTAAATAGGTTCGTCTGTACTTGGAGATGTATTCAGTGACAAACACGTTGGTAGTAAATTTCTTGATGTACAGCAGTGAACGCATATTTTTGGCTGATATGCGGATACCTTTGGTAGTCCAGGGTTTGTAATGTTTTGACTTAATTGCAATTAAAGGAAATGCCTTATTGAAAATGCAGACAAGCATATCTAAAACATCACTGAAATTATAGTCCACGTCCACAGTGGGAACCACCCAGAGGTCAAGCACAAATTTTGGAATTTACGAAAGTCCCGAGCGAAAAAAATCCTAACTAAACGTTGGGTTTTCGAGGATTATTTGTTAAGTGTGTTAAAGTTAAAGTATATACTACTTTATGATCAGATAGTCCTGCATTAATAATTGTAAAGCTTACATCAAGACTGAGAAATCTGAGACAAGATAATCAAGCTCCTCGACACGTAACAGTAGAAGAGAAACGATTATGTATGAGATCAATACTTTACTTATAAAATCTTTTGCGTACTTACAAACATTTCTGCCGTTTAGAAAGTGAGAATAAAAACAGGATCATTTAAATCTGAATAAGTATAACAGTATATAGCGCTCTAAAAAGCGAGCAAAACTACAATCTTAATGGATCGGAACTCGGCAGTTTTGGCGTAGTGATAAACATATTTTTAGACATGAATTTCTTACTTTATTCAAAATTAGTAGAAGTAAATGTTGCACTTACCTTTTCTAGTTCAAATTCCCGGATTTTGTGTATGTTTCCAGTTTGTAATTGTTTTAACAAGCTACCCATAACGATTTAAATCATACCCTGCAACAAAACAAATCATTATTTTAATAAAATTTTATCAAAACATTAGTGTTTGAATGAGTAAGTTTACCAGGTGATGAACTGTCGAACAAACGATACGAAATAATTGGAAAATTCTAAACTGTTAAATATCTGCTTGTTTAACAGTTTAACATAAACAGTTAGTAGAAAAATATTTATAAAAGAGTGAAATTTGTATTGAAAATAACTGTTTTTGTTTTTAAATTGTTCCTCAAACTAGGTACATTCCAAAAATTTAATATATTTTCTAAACAGTATCTGACGTGAAAAGCTATTTGCTGTGAAATGTTATTATCTATTAAAACTATGTGAATGACTTCAAAACATTGCGCAGTTTTAAAATAATGCTAATGAGGACATAGTACTTGAACGTAGCAATTGCTTTGGAAGGTAAACCTAATCAATGATATGTAATGATGAAACATATAATAAGGATTTTTTTATTAAATTTGCAAATTTACAATCTGCTCTTACAAGGTATTAGTAAATTTGAGTATTGCAAATACATGAGAGGAGAAATTATCCCCTGATAACACTTCCAATACTAACACTAACAAATTAAATTATTGTAGGATTATAAGTTGAAACTAAAATTGAAATGAAAATTGAAATTAGTGAATAAAGGCTGTTGGCCACTATCTCTTCAATCTTCGTCTGACTTTTGATTGGAGGTGTAGTTGTTTTGCTTCCTCATTGGGATGGGCTGGCAGAGGTTCTAAATAATTTCTTGTTAGTCTGTTGATTTCGTCTAAGTTCCATTACTGAATTTATTTATTACTGTGAAAAGCATGTTTAAGATCACACTATTTTGATTTATTAGTTGTGAAAATATAGCTTTGAATTCGTTAAGGAAACTTTTCATCGTCTCTCCAATGTCACTGTTTGTATTACTTACATGTGTTCCTCTTGTTATTTGAGCGTAAGTTGCATGATTTTGGTTGTATGAGTTTTATTATGGACATTATTTACATTTGTTCAACCTGTTGCTTGTGTGTAAGTGGCGTGATTTTGATTGCTTAAGTTCAGATTATCCTGTAGTACTGTATTTCTGTTATAATTTCAGTTGATTGTTCACTGGAGTGTGCGATGATACTCCTCTTGCTCCGTTTCTACTGCTAATTAACTCTTTATATACCATGCATCCTTTATAATTTGCGGTGTGTGCTCCATTGCAGAGAGTGCATATGGCAGGTGTGTCCCTAGGTTTTTTACAATCGACTGACATATGGTTGCCTCCACATTTGACACTTGTGTCAAATGTGGAGTTACTAGTGGAGTTATTTACAAATGTGGAATCTATTACAGTGTGTCTTAGAGTGCCCATACAATTGGCATCTGGTACACTGAACAATATTATTCTTTTTATACGGTGGCTTAATAACTACTTTTGCGTTGTTTATAAATTGAATTTCAAATATTTTTTTATTATTTTGATTAGGTTCTATATCGACGTAGAACATCATTAGAGGGTCCTTACTTATTCTGTGTTTTATATTTTCAATATTGCGTACTAAATGCCCATGTTTTTCTATTTCACTTTTTATTATATTAATGGGCACTGTATGATGTAGATTACGAATTACAACTCTGTATGCTCTGTCTTTTTTCATTTGTTACGTACGATGCACAATTTTTTTGCTGTTTAAATGTCTTACCAGTTTTCGGTATATTTCAGAGTCCCGGGAATTTATTTTTATTGTGTTATTTTCTAAAGTTTTACAATATTATGTCTCTGTCTTTACTTCCGATAGGTTATTAACCATTGTATTGTATTCAGTAACACCATATATAAAAAATTAGTGGGGGTTTAAAGGTTGCTGCAGTTTTCTTTGGTATTTTCTGTACTGTTATTGTTGTCGTTTTCGTTTTCTGAAATTTATTGCTGGTTACTACCGTGTCTTGGTTTTTTGTTGGTGTCGGAGGATTAATTTTACGTTTTTTGTTACTATGTTGTATAGTTTGCCATTCGTGGATGTCCGATGACTCAATGTCGTTGATTTCCCCTGAAGATTCTTCACATTGTAATGTATGTGTCATCTAAATAGAATTAGAAGCTTCATTTTGAGGTGTAGATAATGTAGGATTTATTTTACGATTGTATTGACAGTTTGAGGAAGATTGTGATAGTACTTGGTTAGGAACATAATATATTGTTGTTGGTGGGTTGTTTAAAATTTGTGCTGAATTTGGTTGTAAATTTTGTGGAAAAAGGACATTTGGGCATTCTGGTTCAATTTGCTGTTGCTGATATTCAATATTTATAAGTTGACCATTAACAGTAGCAGTATAAAAAGGAACACTCACCGATAAATCTGGTGGAGCACTCATTTTAATTGTTAAAACTGTATATTTTAATTTTCAAAAAGTTTATAAATAGTATATCCACTTGATACACGATAATGACGGTAAAAACGAGGCCGAAGCCCGTTTTTAATCACCACTATAAACTTTGGCCTAATTCTTATCGATGTTTACAAATCGACAGTCAAATAACACATAAGGGTGAATGTTTTTATTATTACTTCTGAAGGACTAAAATACCTTGATAGGACGCTGAAAATTGTATATTTATATCTTTGTTGAAAAAGAGAAAAATGTAGAGTTAGAGAAGATCCTGAGGAACATTAATCCTGAGGGATATATTTGAACAGGACAAAAGAATTGAGACAATAGAACCAAAATATATATATATATATATATATATATATATATATATATATATATATATATATATACCATAATTTCATATAAATATAGTTATTTAGTTTATATAATAATTAAAATTACTATCAAATGATATTTATTTATATTTTCATAATTTCATATAAACATAATGTTCGATTTTTGAAATTCGCATTCTCAAACGACTCTAGGTATCAGCCCTTAATTTAAAAGGTGGCGGACAAAATAGGGATATCATTTTCGACATTGTAAATTTGATAGGGAATTTTAAGAGACCCCTAGTTGAAGGGCAAGCAATTTTAGATTCCAACTATATTATTACTTGTGGGGTATTATTAGGTGAGCTCTATCACAAGTTGGGAAAGAGGCACAAATATTACAATTGTCTGCACTTTGAGTCCTTCAGGTGCATACATACCGCCCATGCTTATATATCCTAGGCATAGAATGTCACCTCAGTTAGAGAAAAGTGGACCAGCTGGAGCCATTTACAAATGCTCCCATAATGACTGGTCAAATGAAGACCTCTTCATGCAGTGGCTCACACATTTGAAAGACAAAGTAAAACCAACAGAGGAAGATCCCGTCTTATTGATCATGGACAATCATGAGTTACATATTTCTTGGTAGTTATGATTATTATAGATCTAATCATACACATGTTGTTTAAATACCACCTCACACATCACATAAACTACAGCCTTTGGATTTGTCGTTTTATGGCCCCTGAAGAAAGTATTCAACATACAGTGTGACAGGTTCTTTGGGGAAAACCAATTTCAGAAGATTTCTATGTATATTTAATGAAGCTTACTTGAATGATGGATAAAGGAGTTTCAGGGTTAAGTGCTTCAGGGATTTTACCGTACAGCCCTGAAAAATTTACAGATATAGACTTTGTCACTAAACAAGACACTTAAACTCCAGTCATCGTTGACTCTGAACACGTTTATGAACTAGTACTTGGTGCAACTCTTCATGAACACAATCATAATATCACTGGGGAGTTTCCAAGCGCTAACGAGATTTGTGTCAAAACTTGTCAGATTTTAAAAGATAGGAGAACAACCATCTTAGATTTAAGTGGAATTTATGGAAATCCATTACCTGGTCGTTCGAAAACGAATGTCGTACCATATTCTTGTCCAAAATCCTCTCCCAAAATCTGTCTCATTTCAAAGACATTTTGAAATCAGTATCACCTCTTCCAAAATCATCTAATGATGATATACCAAATCCAAAAAATTTAAGAAAACAACACTCAGTAATTATGACTGACACCTGTATGAAAATGGTTTTGAAAGACACAAAAAAGAAAAAAGTAATTAGGCACTTAAAAGCCAAGCGTAGACTAGAAAAAGTTGTATAGGATCCAAAGGTCAACCCGAATCCGAAGTTAAAAATGCTGAAGGATGAAAAAAGTAAACAATTAAAGCTTGAAAATAAATTGGTGTTGAAGACAAATTAATTTTGAAGAATCGTCTTCCGAAGAAGATATAGATGAATCAAAAATATGTTATGACAACGAATTTCTACGAAATATGTTATTTCAACGAAAACTATCAGTGTGGCTTTTTTTGTATGAACTAAGTCCTTTGCTATAGAAACAACTTTTAATTTTTAATATATCTACTTATGTATTTGCTTATCTTGTTTTCGTTCAAGTATATCTAGCGGTACCATTAGTTGTCTCATTATTTTCTTATTATTACTACTGTCGGCATTACCCCAAACGTCGCGTCGGTATTACCTCGGTGATCGTGGAAGTACCGACACTTTGCTAAGGTTAGGGAAATATTTTTTTAAAATACGTAAATGACATTGTTTTACCAATATTACATACCCAATGGATGCAGAAAATTCCAATTTTTGTATAGGTATTTTCATAAAAAACCTAACTAATATAGAATAAATCTGAATATTCAAATTGTCCTACGTTACATTATATTACAATTAATTATCTATTTTGCACAAGACTGAAGAAAAAATATTGTATGCTGCTACATATATGGATGAATTGCTTTGTGTTTTCTGTCATAAAATAAAAACTTAATATAATAATGTAATAATAATAAAAGTCAATCAAAAATATCGTTCAACAGAAAGATAAATTAACAAGTCTCCAATTTCTTTTGACCCATTAACAAATAAAACATAACAAACTTCACATTCTATTGTTAACTAAAAAACCGCAAACAAAAAATCTAATGAAATGGCGCTGGACCTGAGCCAACAGCAACAAAGACAGATTTACCGGTGTGAAAATATTTTAATGTTCTGAAAGGAATTCAAATCAG